GCCTGAGCATAAACTTTAACTGCTTCTTGTAGATAAACTGGTGCCTCTTTCCGTCATGGTGTTTGAGCAGGCAGTCTGTTGTAACGATGCCTAAATCACATATGCTTAACATAATAAAAGATTTATTTCTCGCACTCACATGACAGTCTTGGTGTTTGTTGCTGTTGCTTGTGTGTGGATGGGAGGGGAGCTCTGCTCCGTGTAGTGATTTGGGGATCCAGGCTCTGTCCCTGTTGTGGCTCTGTTCTCCACTGGACTCCAGGAGCACATGGGGAAAGCCACACTTGCTCAGCTGGGAGACGACACACATCACTTTATATTTTTTCAATTTATATTTTTAAATTTTTATTTAGAAATAATTTCAAACTTACAGAAAAATCAGCCCCACCTATATGAACATTTTCCCCTGCTTGCCTGTGATTCATGCCACCCCCCCAACACACACACCTGGGAGTGCCTGAGGTTCACGTTACTACTGTTGGTGATGATTCCTTTGCTCAAACTACTGTTCAATTTCTCCACCTTATGGTTACTTTTCCCCCTTAGCTAATAAGCAATCTGTGGGGAGACACTTTAAGATAATGCAAATATACTGCTGCTCACCAAAATCCCCCCCCCCCGCCCCAGTTTATCCTCCATTGATGGCTCTTGCCATGATGGTTGCAGAGTTGTTGGTTATCAAATACCAGCTCTCCTTCCAGGTTCACCACCCAGCCCTGGGCATTCTGCTGCAAGCCAGCACCTCCCTTCTCTCCATTTATGTCTCCTTAAAATTAGAACAGACTTACGGATTCCTGTGTTTTCAGTGGTTTTTCAAGTTTTATAACTTACCACCATCCTTATTTTGGCACTCAAGTTGTCCCAGATGTGGTCAACGAGCATCCCTGCATCCCTGTGACATGCCTCCACTTTTTGAACAATCCTTTTCTTTTTAGTATAAGATATTCCAAGCCCAAATTGTTTCTACCTTGAAATCAGCTATTTTCCAGTTCCAAAGAACTTGTTCCTTTTAGTGGGGATGCTGTGAGACCTGAGTGCCAGGTGTATTCATTGCTACTGGTGAGCTGGGAAATGTGTATATATACACACAAGTGCACACAAAAAGGCCCATGTGTGCTCATATGCATGCATATACACATACATATACAGCAAGACCTCCATTTGCATTCTACTACTCCCCCATATTTTTTATGTCAGTAGTGAGAACTCTAAAATCAGCATATTTACTAGTATGCTAAATTCTAAAATACCTCTCAAAATCATTTCAGAATTGCTTTTCTCAAACCACTACAAAAACCAAACCCATTGAAAAGATGTCAGGATTTGTTTGCTCTTCCCCTGCCACAACCATCCTGACCAAGGCATGGGATGGTAGAGCACATGAATGATTTGTTGTAGAGAGACAAAAAAATTTAGACAGGTATTCCCACTTGTTAATCTCAGAGGAAGCTGGGTTAGTTCAGGCATTAGGGGCATTGGGTTTGTGCGGAGGGTCTCCCATCCAAAGGGGTAGGGATGTGGCTCATTGAGAAAGATGTAGCAGGGGTGCCTGGGTGGCTCAGTCGTTAAGCGTCTGCCTTCGGCTCAGGTCATGATCCCAGGGTCCTGGGATCAAGCCCCGCATCGGGCTCCCTGCTCAGTGGGAAGCCTGCTTCTCCCTCTCCCACTCCCCCTGCTTGTGTTCCCTCTCTCATTGTCTCTCTGTCAAATAAATAAAATCTTTAAAAAATAAAAATAAAAAGATGTAGCAGATGGAAAGCACAAGAAGGTGGCCCTGGTGTCTCCAATGGAGTTGGGAGGGCTGGAAAGTGTACAGATCATGGAGCTCTGAGCCACGACTCAAAAAGGAAATGATATCTGGAGGGCAAGAGAGAGCCCCAGATGCACTGGCACGAAGAATGGAATGGAGTTCCTGGCTAGTTTCCACAGGGTGCCCGAGGATGACTGTTCAGAGTGGGCAGGGAAGGGCAAATCCCACAAATAGAAAACTGGCAAGATGGGAATAAATTTCAATGCGAAGAAGATGCTTAAATACCCTCTGTTATAGACTGAATTGCCCCCCACCCCAAATTTATACACTGAAGCCCTGACCCCCTCATGTGACTATATTTGGAGATAGGGCCTACAGGGAGGTGATAGGGGTAGGGCCCTAATCCCATAGCATTGATAGCCTTATAAGAAGAGGAAGAGCAGAGATTGCTCTTTGATCATGTGTGCGTGGAAGAAAGGCCATGCAAAGACACAGTGAGAAGGTGGCTATCTACAAACTGGGAAGAGCGGTCTCATTAGAAACCAACCCTGACAGCACCTTGGTCTTGGGCTTCCAGCGAAGGACAACTCCAGAACTGTTAGAAAATTAATTTCTGTGGTTTAAGCCCCCACCCTGTGGTACTCGGTTGTGGGAGCCTGAGCCGACTAATGAGGCCTTCTCATGATCTGGGTTGAGAGCTTTGTAAATCATTGTCAACCAGTGTGACTGCTTTGGAAAGCAAACAGCCCAATCACACCAAGAACCACTATGACGTTTGTATATCTTGAGTCTTAAGTTTTAGGCATGATGATTTTTCGTAAAAAATTAAAGCCAAGAGAAAAGCTACATAAAATGAGATGCTGAAATCCTTTCTGGCCCTAGGTGGGATATTAAAAGTATCGAGGAAACCGCACGGAGGCCTGGTGGCAGTTGGACTTCTTACGTGGTGTCTCAGGGTTCCAAGCACAAGCATCCCAGTGAGCAAGGCAGAAACTGCATGGCCTCTTCTGAATCTCTGTTCACACCCTTCATTCTTCCTTGTTGGTCTTCAACTTTTGTGTCAATAATTGAGACATACCAGCAACTCTCCAAGTAAGTGAGGCCCTCTGGTAAGGAATGTGCTTGCCCCTGCCATTTTTCTGACACTGTGGGTTTAACTTCAGCTTCCCTCCACTGGTGCGGCCCTGCTAGGGAGGGAATGCTCATCTCACTCCAAGGGAGGGGAGATCTGATACTGTGGGCACCTCCTCATGGTCCCCAACTCCGGGCTGTATTCCTGTGTGCGTCATTGTGGGGGTAGGACAATAGGAGCTTGTGTGACTGGGTTTCTCAGTGATCTGGCATTTTCAAAGGACTGCAAGAGTGTGGTTGGGTTCCATTTTTACTCAACTGATCTCGAATGGAGGAGCCCTAACATGTTTTCCAAATGCAGTGTTCTCGGATGAGAAGTATCATCCTAGAGAGTCTGAACTGTGCACGGCTGGCATGACCTATTTTCTGCACTAGATTCAGGGGTAGGAGCCTATCATGCCATTTACCTAAAGAAGCTCATCTTCTCAGTACATCTGGTTTCCTTGAGGACAAGACGCAACACAAGGATAGAAGCCCAGGGAAAGGGAGGAGGACAAAAGAGCTGAGCAAAAGACTGAGGCTATTGAGCCACCCAGTCCAGTCCAGCCCAGTCCAGCCACTGGCTGGCCCCCTCTGGCAAATGAACACCGGGAAGGAGGCTACAGCGACCTGAGGTGTGCCGCAAACATAAAATATATGCTGGATTTCAAAGATGTACTATACAGAAAGCAAGCAAAATATCGTATCAGTGGCTTTTTAGAGTGACACGTTGAAATGGTAACATATGGGATATATAGGGACAGATATTTATTTCACCTGTTTCTTCTTGCTTCTTAAATGGAACTGACAATAGCTAAATTTACCAATGTGGCTTGCATTGTTTCTACCAGAGGTGGCTGTTTTAAGTGGCTTATAAATGAGTATGAGATTAATTCCAAAAAAGGGAGAGGAGGCACTGCACAAGCATACTGGGGACGGTTGGAAGACTATTTGTAATGTCCTTCCCCCAAGGGAGAAATTTCAAGTTGACTGGAAACTTACATCCCAGCATTGTGACTGGAAAACCAGGCCAACTGATATAACCCTGATGGTTGGTGACCAAATCCAGCCAATGTAATTTAAATATGGGTTCTAATGAGGATGGCAAGTCACCATTCAAGGGTCGTGGTTGTCAGAGAGACTGCTGTCAGTGGATTCAGGATTTAATGTAATACTATGGACCTTCAAGATAAATTATACAAAAACAAAAGCTTGTCTAAACACCAGGAAGAAGAATCAATGGAAACAATCAAGAGAGGATTACCTTGTACATTTCTCAAAAGAGATAAACCTTGCAAAACATAAGATTCCAATGTGGAGGTGCTGTTGTTCACAAGATGGTGGCTTAACAAAGGAAATCTTCCTTTTTGTGAAACAGCAACATCTGTGTTTCTAATGCCTGTGAGTCCTGTAGAGAAATTTATAGTCACCTTGCACCATTCATAAGCACCCCTCCCAAGAATGTAATGTGCAATAATGATAAATTCTCAGTGTATCTGGTTCTTGTATATAAAGAGCATCTGCTTTGAAAATCTCTAGTTTGGAATATCGTGAATCCTTGGACAGAAGCCATCTCCAGATCTGCTACATTTTTTTTTTTTTTCCATTTCTCTTTTCTGTAGGTTCTGTGATGTAGCATTAGTGGGCACTCATGACTGAAGATCCTCAACACTAACTCCACAGCTCCCTACTGCTGTCTGGATGATCTGATGTCCGGGGATGGGTGACCTAACTCCACACCTCCCTACTACTGTCTGGATGATCTGATGTCCGGG